ATTATATCCAGGTTTTTATTATATCCAGGTTTCCTCTTTATAAGAAAGTCCTATTCAATTTCATTACAGTTTCGTTTAAAGCAGATCATTTTGTATTATGATATCTCTTAATATGTTAATTTTTTATAATATTATTATTATATAATTTTATTTTAATAAAAATTAATTGTATTTTGAATAAATTATATTATTTTAAAATTAATTAATTTAAAAAAAATATAATAAAAAAATATAATTTTTAATTTTTTAAAAAATTTTAATTATATGAAATCATTTATATTTTTAATAGTTCTTTTACTTTAAGTTTAAATAAATTTAGTAAATTTTAAATTATTTAAAAAATATATATAAATCATAATAAATTTATTTATGAAATATTTATATACATATATAACAATAATTATTAAATTTAATTATTAAATTTGTTTTTTTTAAACTATAAGTATATATTTATTATTTAGTATATGTATGATATTTTTTAAAGCATAAAAAACAAGATTTATTACAACAAAGAGCAACATTACATTGAATACACCAAATTTGATTTTGTGTTGGATTTTTTTTATCAATAATTTTTTTGTTTATTTTAGCATTCCATCAACATCAAACATATGCTATACAAGTTTCTCACTATTATGGATAATGATTTGTATCAGAAAATCAAGAAAATCAGTATAAGCTGTTCTTTGTGCAACACCCAGATGACGGAGAAGATAGCGATTACATGGTAAAGTCTATAAATAGGTCAAAAATTTATTGAACATGAGTAATGATTCTGTGTGACAATTATTATAGCCGAAGATACTTACATGCCCACCGTCACCCTTGCAAAATTCAGAAGTTAGCATGAAATTGTTACCTACTGGTGATGTGTCAGATTCAAAAAAATATATAAAAAAAGATCCAAATGCAAAAAAAAAGCCAAATACCCTCAAAATCCGAACATAAAAAAAAATCAAGATTCTGAAAAAAAAAATCAAACCCAATTATGCTTGCAAATTTCTCCTACCAATTCATTTCACAAAGGAATAAAGGCTAAAGGATCTATGCTATATTCATCTGGTAACTCACAGTCATAAATTCTTGTGCCCCTAAGTATTAGTTACGATAGATACGAAGATAATGAAGGTATAACTTATTTAACTCTACTATCACATTCTGATACTATATATGGGTCTGAAAAATTCATTGAACATGAGTAATGATTCCGGTGTGACAATTATTATAGCCGAAGATATTTACATGTCACCATCGCCCTCGTAAAATTCAGAAGTTAGCATGGAATTGTTACCTATTGGTAATGTGTCAAATTCAAAAAAAAATATAAAAAAAGATCCAAATGCAAAAAAAAAAAGCCAAATACCCCCGAAACCCGAACATTAAAAAAAAAACCAAGATTCCAAAAAAAAAAATCAAACCCAATCGTGCTTACAAATATTTCTCCTACCAATTCATTTTACGAAGGAATAGAGGCTAAAGGATCTACACTATATTTATCTGGTAACTCTTAGTTACAAATTCTCATACCCTTAAGTATTAGTCACGATGGATACGAAGATGATAAAGGTAGAACTTATTTAACTTCTATACTATCACGTTCTGATGCTATAAATGGATTCGAAAATTCATTGAACATGAGTAATGATTCCAGTATGACAATTATTATAGCCGAAGATACTTACATGCCATCATCGCCCTCATAAAATTCAAAAGTTAGCATGGAATTGTTATCTATTGATATGTGTCGGATTCAAAAAAAAATATAAAAAAAGATTCAAATGCAAAAAAAAAAAGCCAAACACCCCTGAAACCCGAACATTAAAAAAAAAACCAAGATTCCGAAAAAAAAAATCCAACCCAATTATGCTTGCAATTATTTCTTCTACCAATTCATTTCACAAAGGAATAGAGGCTGAAGGATCTATACTATATTTATCTGGTGACTCTTAGTCATAAATTCTCACGCCCCTAAGTATTAGTCATAATAGATACGAAGATGATGAAGGTAGAACTTATTTAACTCCTATACTATTACATTCTGATGCTATGGATGTACCTATAAGTCCTACAATTTCTTCGATTTATGCACATTCAGAACACTCAGAAAGAATATCATTTTTGATTAAAATGATCGATCTTTTATTGATGATTATATGTTATACAAGCTCGATAATCAATGCTTGGCAAAATTGAATTGGTACTATTTGAAGGATCCCTCATATCTCACTTTCCAGTTATTGCAAATTTGCCTGCTTAATATATTAAGGAATAGTAAATTATTTTATTGAAGATATTCATTTAAACAGAAAATTACTGTATGCAATATAAAAGAAACTACCAGCTACACATCGAATGTCAAATATTCCTGGAGAGTGATTTGTCATACCAATTCTATACTGGTTCAGGAGATTTCTTTTCTTAACTTATTTAATGTGTTTATAATGGAATAGTCAACATTCAAATTCTTTTGTGCAATGTATGCAAGCATGTTATCACATCCCAACAATGCTTCAGAGCTTGTTACAATTTGTTCTTCAGAAGGTTTATCCTTTTCTAGTATTTCAATATGATTAACCGTATCTATAATCTCTTGAAATAAACCATTTTCATCAATAAAGGAATAAATTTCAGAATTTTTGTCAATATCCATATACTCTTCTATGTTCATTGGTTCATCTATAGGCAAACGCTGAATGAGATCTGCTATTTTTCTTTTGACCTCTTCAATTTCTTTTGTAGCATAGTTATAGGGATAGAGGATAAGGAAATTGGTAAAATATTTGTACAAGTTCAGGATAATGTAACCGTTTGTGTTTTTATACAATTCTATACTTTAACCACAAAGTTAATTGCATCAAGGATGGTAACTTTTGAAATAACTGTTAAATAATTTGATCATTCGTCATAAAGATAAATAAGATGTAAACATAATAGTCGCCGATAATGTGCCTAAATAATAATAAGTAAATTAAGTAAAATAATAAACCTAATATTTATTATATTATTAAAATAACTTTTTATAGATCTTAAGACTATAAATAATTTCTTGGTCGAGGGGTTGAAGTTGGGTTGATATATTTAGAGGTAAAAAATGAAGTTTAATATTAGATAGTTCAAGATCATCAACTTTGTAACTAGAGACGTTATCGGCTAGTAGAATAATTTTGTAGTTTTGTAAGTGAAACGTGTTGTTAACTTTTCTAAGGTAACTTTCAAATATAGAGCATTGCATCCAAGCAGATTTATTATAATAATATCATATACTGAGAGTAGTTTTATCAATTCCACATAATGATTAAGGAGTATTTGAATTATTTATAAACAGTAAAGGTAATTTTTCTTCCACAGTTGCATTACAAGTTGCAAGTATAGATACACGATTCTTCAACAATTTTTTTTCTGAAACTGATATGCGAGCAAGTGTTGTTCGTGGTTCCATTTTCCAAAATAGTGCTGTTTCGTTACAGTTAAAAATGTCACACTTATTATAACCTTCTAAAATCGATTTCAAATATATATGTTGCTCAGGTAATTTGATCAAATTGATGCTTCCAGCTTCCCCCTTTTTTTTATAAGATTTTAAACTGTTTTTCTTTTTGAATTCTTCTAACCACCTATTAGTTGCGCCAAATTCATAATTATCAAACAAAATAGCAAATTTTTTAGTCTTTTCTTTTAAAATCGAATCTGTTAAGGTTACTTTGTCACTTATTGCATTTTCTATCCAAAGATCCAATGCTTCCTTTATATTGGGAAAATTGCTTTGATATCTTCTTTTAAATATATCAATAGTGAACTCTTCATCAATATTGAGCCAGTAATCACTATTTGACAAAATTTCACTGATCGTTAGTATGGCATATTCAAACTGTTTGGCTAATTCAGCCATTTTAATTAAGGGGTTGTCTTTTTTTTTATTTGACAGATTTCTTTTTTTTTCAATACCACGAAGTGCATAATGTTTGTTTTTAGCAAGTTTTGTCTCTTTGTCTCTAGACATTATAATAAAAAACAGATTAAGATTTATGATAAACTTTTAAATATAAAGTGAATTACTATATTAGTATATTATCATATATATATATTTACATTAATAGAAAAGATTGCTAAATTATAACAAAGTTTATTATAATATAATAAAGTTTACTATAATATAATAAACTTTATTATAATATAACAAAATTCACTATAGTATAATGAACTTTATTATAATATAATGAAGTTTACTATAATATAATAAAGTTCGTTATAAGAAAACTTCATTATATTTTTATTAGTTAATTGATTTAAGACTTTATTATAATCAGTAATCAGATTTTCTTAATTAACTTTATTATATTCAGGAAATTTTATTAGATAAGGTTTTGGGATATCAAAAAAACTTTGTTATAGTCAAAAATTCATTTTATTTAGGTTTCGTTATATCCAGGTTCACTATGTATTTTAATAAACTTTTTATTAATTATAATTACAAATAATTATTAAATTTTATTAATTATTTTTATTTTTTAAATAATGAATTAATTGTTAATATACTGTATAAATTCATTAAATTTTTAAACTTAAAATATATTAAATTATGGCTAAGTTATTTATCAAATATTTGTATTTTATTTATTTATTTATTGTTGAATACTATAATATTATAGTTAAACTATTCACGAATGTTTAATAAATATTTATATTTAATTTTATGTTGAATAGTATTAAACAGCATAAATTTGGCTTAAATTTATTTATAAAAATTTAAAAGTTTGACAATAATTTGACATACTAAATAATCAAATTTTAACTAGTGGATTATATATACAATATATAATATAATTAAAAATTGAATAGTTTCTTTTCAGTAAAATTAATTAAAAATATTAATCAGATATATAAAAATTTATATAAATAATTAAAATATTATTAATATTAAATTTAACTTTATAAAAATAATATGATTAATTAAAAAAAAACTCTTTCCCGCTCCCCTTAAATTTTTGAAAAACTTCCTTTTTAGGAAATTTAACGAGACATGAATGAAGGACATATCAAGTTATACCTTTCTTTAAAGAAACTTTTTCCCTTCTTTTACTACTATCGAGGATAAAAACTCTTTCCTAGAGTAGGCCTGTCAGTTTATTTAAGACTGATATTTCCCCTCTTTAATATGGAAAGTTACCTCTGCCAACACCGACATAACACTTCTCCTATATCTCAAGACCTGCTACATATGAGCCAACTTTAAGAGTTTGGTTGAAAAAAGTCAAGCTGCAGAAGGATGGGACTCTTGGTTGAATTCTTCAAGACTTAGAACACCTTGTTGATGAAAAGTGCATAGAGAAAGGCCTTTGGTTTGATATCTTTTTCACTCATACATATAGATACAAATTTTCTTACCAAAAACTGAAATCAGTTTATCCCCATCAAATGATTGACATTATTCCTTATCCAATCACATCTCATGAAAATCGTACCATCTAACATCATAATAACAACAACAACAATAACAACAACAATTATTATATGTTAATATTAAGTAAACAACTTTGAAGAGATCAGCAATGTGGACACTAACATATGGTGCTATTATGGCTTTTAAACGGCTTACCGATTATGTAGGAGTTGCGTCCTACTTGGCAGTTTTGCTCCTAGATTTGGCAGCTTAAGCCAACCAAATCCTTTGAAGTGTTTACTAGGAGATTTTGGAGTCATGTCCCACTTGACCTTGGAGCCCCTAGATTTGGTAGTTTGTGCCAACCAAAGATTACAGTTTCGGAGTATTTACTAGAAAATACATAACAACGTTTAATCCTCTCTGAACCCATAGCTGCGTGAGCCGAAGTTGTGATGTGAAAAGTTATTTATTAAGTATTAACATATAGTTTATTATTTCTGGTTGGATCTGAAGTCATTACTATAAATAGCATGGTCTGTCGTGCTACTATCTAGATCATTATTAGTTTTAAAATTTCTTTTCTAATATAGTCTAGGTAGTTACTTTGGTAAACTAG